GGGGGGGGGGGGGGGCTCTTGAATAGCCCTTCAATATAATGTAGTGGGTATTATATTGTGCTTAATGTATATAAAAGTTGCCAATACTATCACTTTGATCGGGGGTAGAAAGAAATCGAGCGAAAGAGGGGTATGAGTCTGGGGAGGGGCTTTAAATAATCACTTCCCTAAATTTTATTAAAATAAATTTTAAAATTCTGGAATGCATTTTTGCCCATAGGTCTACCTAAATTTATTTTTGCTTCATTCTGCAATTTAAGGCTAATGAAATTGCTAATAGATATTTAAATATTAATTAAGAATATGGACAATATGAAACCCCTAGAAGAGTGAGTCTCCTATAAGCCTGAGGCCCTGGGAAACTGCCCAGTGTGCTAATGCCTCAAGGCGGAACTGTCCTGACTGGTTGTGGCGTAGATAGGATCAATACAACCAGGGACGGGCCAAGATTTTTGACAACCCCTTACACGAAACAACCCCCACAGTTGGCCTCCAGTTATAGAAGAAAAAAAAATCGCCCGCCCCCTCCGCAACCTCTTCTTACGCCACCGCTAGCTGGTCGCCTATCAAGTGACTTGTCATCAATAACATAAAAGTAACTGTCTAAGCATCACTGCAAAAGTCATATTTTTAAGGTATGTCTATGATATATCTGAAAATCAAGATACTCTTATCTTATATAATTAAAGCATTTAAAATTACATTTGACTTGAAGAAAAATAATAGTATAATTGCAATACAACTCAAAATTATTAACTTATATTTAGGTAAGAATTAGTCTTATTTTTGTATAGTTTTATATGTTACATCTGGATTATTTTTTATAAATAGCCTAGTTTTAAAACGTTGGTCTTAAATTATTTTAGGGGTCCTTAGCCTTTTTGCAGCACTTCACCCCATCTCAATTTTAAACATTTCACGCACCACCTCTCGAGTTCACAACATTTTCAGCACTCGCTTATTTGTTGAATTGTCACTTATACCAATTTCTGATTTTTGCCTTTCGTTTTTATGACATGATCTTGCTTAAAAAAATTCTTTCCACACACACTGGCACTGCCAGATGTGTGTACTTCTGGTTAAGGGACCGTCCATAAAGTAAGTCACGCTACTAAAAAAAATAAATAATACAAAACACACTTCACTATTAAAATATTAAATTTATGAAAACAGTGCAGAACTTTACCTCCCGTTTTTTTTTTGGTCACTAACTAACACACCTTCTTAAAACCCCCTCTGGGGCGTGACGTATTTTATGGACGGCCTCTAAGTAACCATGCATTATTCTTGCTGTTTGTCTTTTGCCATAATTAACAATCTTATATTTTTGGATTTGGAAGCAGTTGTTTAGTAGGTCTTTTTTCTTCAAATTACCAGTTACTTCTTTTAAAACTATATATTTTGGACTGTGGGGATTATTTTCAAAAAAATTACCACTAACTATTGGATTGATTAGACGTATCATCATAAGTCATACTCTAATCATGAGATGAGATGTGAAAGTCGTGTACTAAAGAAGCGATGTGTATCTGAACTCAAAAAAATTGTTGTGGACCATCATCCATAAAACAAGGCGTTGCCGTTGATTGGCCAACAGCACGGCAGGTAACAACACTCACCTGGGCTAAGTGCGATTTGCCTTGTGTATCTAACATTGTATAGCAATCAATAAAGAACAAGCCCGAGGAGTATGAGAAAGAAGAATGACAACAGTACTTTTATTTGATATTAATTTTTACTGATTGTAAGTTTTAGTTGTATGTTATATAAATTTAATAATAATAGCATTACAGTTTACAATCAGTAGTGATCAGTAGTGAGTTGGCAGGTGCAATTTAGGATTTACTTTAGTAATTTTTAGTGTAAGTCTGTAGTTTGTGAGTGTAAAGAAAGAAAAATGAAGACATCAACTCAAGACGTCCAAGTTCAACATTCAACTCAGCCTCAGCCCTTTTTACTTAGTTTAGCACTGTAGCTGAAGACGAAGTCAATAATGAGAACTCTCACAACAAAGTAGTAGGCTAAATTTGATGAAAAAACTAAAATAAGGCATGTTGCATTTTAATTAATAAAATGATTAATTTAATAATTACATTATTAATATATACTAATATTAATATACCATACCGTTACATTTAATATACCCACTAAATATAAGCCAGCCAACAAATTGTTAGGCTATGTTAGTTTATAGTATAGGCATAATAATATAGGCCTATAATCCTATAATTATAAAAATTATAATTCAGTTGTTATACTAATTAGAATTAGAGATCAATTAATGCTAATAGGCTAAGTATAGCCATGGCTAATATTTGTTTTTATTAAATATAATAATATATTTAATATAATATATACTAAATTGCCATGTCCATTCCTTACGCAGACATGACATAGTCTAATTAAATTAATATGTGTAGTAGCCTAGGCCCTAGTCAACTCACCCCCCCCCTTCTTTTTTTAACCTTACAAAACACACACATTGTCAATTGTCACCTCATGTATGCTAGTAATTAGTTTTTGTAGTGTTGCGTTTGTTTTAAATGTGGTAAATTATAGATTTGTATTTTGTTGACTTTGTACCGCGCTTCGAGCCTTAGGGGATGAAGCGTGTTTTTGAAATGAACTTTATTATTATTATTATTATTATTTATTTGTGTTATATGTTATATATAATATAACAACTCCGAAAGTGTCACCCCACCCTCCTCCACTATCATGCCCTATCTATGCCAAAGCTACTACTACTGTCTATTTTGTCTGTCTGTATAGGCTATAGGCCTACTGTAACTCACTTACTCTCAAAACTAAAACATGTATCCTACTACTAGTAGCATTCTAACGTAAAGCTATAAGTTATAAGCAGGGCTTGAAATCATTGGTACATCTTGACAATCATAAATATTTAACAATTTATTGTTGGCTGTGACTATTCGCACCCGGGTATCAGAAGTGAGAGGTTGGGATTAAAAAACTATTTCAAATATTATTGTTGGGTTTGTAAGACAAAAATGAGGTATCAAATGAAAGATAATTAAATGGACTATATGTTTGTAAACTTACTTCTTCAGTTTAATTAAAATAAAATACCACAAATGACATCCGAAAGGGATTTAGTCTAAAGGGACTCGGGTCCGAATAGTGGCTATGCGTAAACAATTAACATGATTTATTCCAATGAATTATTAATAAATAAATGCTAATTCTCTTTTCTTGTCTGTTTTAGAAAATGATTTTCACTTTTTGATTCATTCTTAAATTATTTGCAGCAGTTCAATTAGGGGCATTTTCAACAAGAAAAAGTTACAATGGCTCTCATTCATCGTCGATTGATAGGACTTTCAGCTTTTGTTGCCGTTATTGGAGTGGGTCTAATAGTTGCAGCTTTTGCAACTGATCATTGGATCAATTCATCTCCTGTATCTGTAAACAATGGAACAACTAACGTCAATGCCACAGGAGGCTCACTAACTGGTCACACTGCCAATATAACTTTTGGTTTGTTTACAGGATTAAAAAAAATAGATTTTGGACTTGGAATTCGTGAATCCAATCTCATGAGTAAGTAAATTATTTAAATTTAACTCTTTGTATATCTATATATTCTAAACCAATGTTTTATGAAGCTATTCACCTCAAAATATTATTACATACAGTTCAAAAATATTTAACCACTTGATAAGTGTTTGAATTTACTGACTTAGTTTGCATTATACAAATTAGTTTGCATTACTTCTTTATCTGATAACTCTATATATTTTGTTGACCTGATTCATGTTTATATTTTTTCATACTTGCTAAAAAAAAAAGATTTTTGTTGTTGTTGCAAATCACAACAGTATGATCAAATTAAGGGATCTTGCTAAATTTGCTTAAATAATTTTTTTGTCTGAAAAAGTCAAATGTGACCAAGGAGCTTGTATTTACGCTGGTTCTGGAAAAGATGAGATTGAGACTCCTGAGGAGCAACTTGCTAGCATCTTACGACAATACAAAAATCAGTCTAACCTTGGTATGTCATTTTTTCCCCTTCACTTAATACTGCTTAAATATATATGCCATGTGAAGCAAAGAGAAATTTAATGAATGCGTTGCTTATATTTAAAAAAAATGTTGTTTTGTTTCATTTGTTTTGGTTAAATTCTTTTGCACATGAAATTGGGTGTTGTGACATCAACTTCATGATTAAAGTGCTATTGCTATGACTTATTTTCAAGAGGGATAATTAATTTTCAGTATATTTTTTTCTTTGCTTACATATACTGATTTGTTTCTTTAAATTTTCTTTGCAAACAATATTTTGTAAAAGCATGATGATGTTGCACTCATTTGGGGAAATGTTGGGAAAAAGAAACTATTAATTGACAGACACAAGTTACATACACAAACATTCTGAGCAGTAAAGGTCCTTGGGTTCTTGAACTGGCATTTACCTACCAGAATTAGTATTTTGAGTAATTTTTATATCAAAGAAGTGATGTTCTAGTGAAAATACAAAATTAAGAAATGTTAAACAATAGTAAGTTGTCAACATTTTTGGGGGTACTTTTAAAGAATATCATAAGATGATTTTTTAAATTTTTTTATTTTTTTTAAAGAATAATTTTCCATCCTTTTAACTATTGAAGATATGATCACAGAGGTAAGAATACAGGTATGCATACAATATTTCATAATTTTTTATACATGTTACACCATGTATACCCAGTATCTTACACCAGGGGTCAACAACCTTTTGGTATTAGCATGCGAAAGTAATACTTCTCATTCATTGTGCCAATAAATTTACCATTTAAAACACACATTTTATACTTAATTTTTTTGGTCTTCTGTGTGCCAATCAAAATCGCTATGCCTGCCAGGTCTGGCATGAGTGTTATAGGTTGTTGACTCCTGTCTTACACCACGTATACGATGAAATAAAGACTCATATGTTAGATTTATTTTTCGCTTATAACTCTTTAACATGCATACTCTGTTTATTGTACTAATCTTTCTACTGACAAATTAGGTAAATTCAATTTCTCTTATACTCTGTTGTTTATTTTTTCTGTTGAAAAGGCTTTTGGCCCAATCGTTCAGTTGATTGTCCTGTTTTTTTTTTCCCTTTCAAGTTTTAACAAATCCATTTGAACTATTTCCTTGTAGTTTATGAGTCATCAGAATATAGATACTTGTGCCAAAATAACTAAAGCCTTCCAGATAAGAGTAGAATTTTTCTTCTTCTGCTTTTTTTTTTCTTCTTATGCTTTGTTATCTCTAAGTTAATGGGAAAAGAAATGTCAGATTAGAACACTCGCTAAGTGCTTCATGGTAAAAATTCTGTGTGAAGACATTTTGGAGTCAGTACACCACATACCTTTGGTTGCGTGGGTCAATGTAACACGGAACTGAAGGGATTTAGGACTACCCATTTTTAGAAACATTGTATCCCCTGATGGAAACTTACCAGTGTGTGTGTATACACAGTGTTGACCTCATTTTTTTTCAGTTTGGTGGAGCGGCGGACAAGATTTTAAAATGCACCAGGGATCAGTTTTTTGTAATTTTTATTATTTTCATTTGACCATAAATATTCACTTTGTACTGACAGGCACAGTATGGCTCTGGGACCGTTCTGCAGGCACCACTTTGGGAATCACTGTACATCCTCACTCCCTATTCTTTCTTTCTTTCTTTCTTTCTTTCTTTCTTTCTTTCTTTCTTTCTTTCTTTCTTTCTTTCTTTCTTTCTTTCTTTCTTTCTTTCTTTCTTTCTTTCTTTCTTTCTTTCTTTCTTTCATTCTCTCTCTTTCTTTCTTTCTTTCTTTCTTTCTTTCTTCCTTTCTTTCTTTCTTTCTTTCTTTCTTTCTTTCTTTCTTTCTTCTGTTCCTCCATATCTCGTTTAGAATGAAGACTTCAGGGAAATTAAAGGGTTTTAAACAAATAAATGGATACATCACGTGCATGAGTTCATTTATACATTGGGGGGTGGGGTTGTTTGGCGGTTTGATTAGGCGTGGTTTATGTAAAGATAATAATCTTTTGATCCTGTACCGTACAAGTTCCATTTTTAAGTCAACTTAACAAAGGCATGTACATTGTTAAATCACAAAATCATTATTCCACTCCTCAGCTTTGTGTTTTGTAGATATATAACTTAAAACACGAGAATGCCAATTTAAGGCTTAACCAGTAGAATTGTATTTTTTGTTCATGCTTTGTACAACTGTTTCAGACCACCAACATAATGCTTTGTCCGAGGGGGGGGGGTGGTTTCAGACGGCATGTGCCTTCATCCCCACTCCTGTGCACATTCAAAATAAGAATTTTTTCAAAATGAGGCTTCAAAAAACAAAAACAATTTTTGCTTATTTGTTTGTGTATCTGTAAACAGATAATTGTACTCTTGTCAAGAAAAATTTAGAAGGAAAACAAAACATGTTATTGGGATGCAAATACGGGTTAACACTGCACCTGGAGATGTCACATCAATTCCCCTGCACTTACTGCACAAGAAAATTTCGTCCCAGATTAGGGGTCTCATCAGCCATCTGCGCACCCGAAGCCAAGTTCAGAACTAGCACAAATAAAAAGATTAAAGTGGCCATGGTCGATTTTGACGAACTACATACGACCGTACCCGGAAATTTGTTTGAAAGAAATTTCTTCGACGGAAAATTGATCGACGGAAATTTGATCAAACAGAAACTTGGTCGAATCTTTTTTGCAGTATTGTGTTACTGTTTTAATATATAGTGAAGTGCGTTCAAAAAGAAATTTGACGAAAATTGGGATCTTCAGAGCAGTCTTGTCACTATGCTAGTGCACATCACTGGGTCATCATCATGTAACACTAACCATGTCTAAAAATTAATATGCGAAATAAAAATAATTGTACTCTGCAGTTCAATTCAAGTTGACCAAATATCGGGTGGTGGCCACCGCCTTCATTGTCCTCGGGTGCTAAAAGACTCCCGGTTAACATTTTTAAAACCGTCGTAGTCGCCTAGTGGTGGAGTTTCTTCAAAATGTCATTAGCCGGTCAACCCTCTGCCTCATACGTCAATCAAAACCTTTGTCCCGTCGGAGTGCAATATCGTGTACTGCCACCGACTGTGAAGGATCAGATCGTCATTATCGACCCACTCAACATCGAGGTTTTCATTCAGTTGTCTCGTGGGGCCACGCAATCCTATCATCACCTCTTTTTTTTTGTATCTAACTTTATTTAATGACAATATTTTTACTTGGCACTTTCACGCACACGTTGCGTATTTTTATTTAAATATCTTATTTTTTTTCGAAAACTAATTCTGGCTGACCTTATGAAATCAATGTTATGTTATTGACCAGTCTTTAATTTAATACTTTCTTTTATTGTTATGAGATGTTATATTAAGTTCGAATAACTTAACAGAGTAATACACATACGCTTTAAAGGTCTCGACGTTCTCTCCCTTTGCTTACCGAGTCCCACCTTCCGCGAAGCTTCAGTAATCTCTCATGAACCGGTAGAGCACTATAGAACCCCTTTGGTGTTTAATAATGTACATGGTTTCCAATACGTTGAGAATCTGCTTTGGGGGCCGTCACAAAAGTACGTCACGCAATTTTTGGATAATCCCCCGCCCCTTCCCGGCCCTGTGACAATCGGACACAAATCTCGTACCCCCCCCCCCCCCCCCCCCCCCCCCCCCCCCCCCCCCCCCCCCCCCCCCCCCCCCCCCAATTGGCCCTACCCTCCCAAAGTACGTCAAGCTTTCGAACAAAAACTGGGCACAAAATAAACAACTAATTTTATTTAAATTTAAAACACACTTAAATAGTAAACTATCTCATTTATAAAAGTGATAACTTGTCAGAATACATCCGTCACAACAGAAAGTTCACCACTGTCAATATCAACTTTTCATGAGGGAAACACAAAGGGGGGGAAGTAACATGTGTGGCATTCCATGTGATCTACACCCCTCTTCCCCGGTCACAAACTGTCACCCTTTCTTAGGGACCCCCGCACTCCCCTCCCCTCCTCATCGTTTATGGACGGCCTCTTGCCTGCATGTCGAGATTCACTGACTCCATAAAAACAACAAAACAAAACAAATGACCAATCAATAGTACGTCAACGGAAGGAGTTCGTTTTGGTTGAGTTCATAGTCCAAGGCGGTCTTCATTTGAGAGTAGATTCCCCTTAGAATGGTCAGAAATACCGGCAGTGAACTTGACATTTTTCTTAATAAGGCACTTGATGACTGGATGTCTTCGAGATTTGTCTCTCAGTGCCGAATTCTGGACAGAGAAAGGAAAGGGGGGGAGGGAGGAGGGAGGTACCATAGAGGGGCGTCATTTTCGATCAAATGCATTTTTGTTACTTGGTTGTTTTTTTTTCGTTAATGGCGGCGGTAAAAATGTTGACGCTCTCCTGGTGGCAACAACCTTAGCTACGCCACCGAGTGTAACTTAAAACAGCCTCCCCACCCTTAGCTACGCCACCGAGTGTAGCTTAAAACAGCCTCCCCACCCTTAGCTACGCCACCGAGTGTAGCTTAAAACAGCCTCCCCACCCTTAGCTACGCCACCGAGTGTAGCTTAAAACAGCCTCCCCACCCTTAGCTACGCCACCGAGTGTAGCTTAAAACAGCCTCCCCAACCTTAGCTACGCCACCGAGTGTAACTTAAAACAGCCTCCCCACCCTCCCTCCCTCAGCAACCAACACGCCTCGTGCCGTAGGTTACAAGTGCATAGTTCATTTATTCCCGAACGGCTGAGATACGATCTGTTTGCGAAATAAAGGTGGAGATGGCTCAGAAGCTTAATGATGTGTACCTGGTGAACCGTATCTGTATTTGTTGATAGGATCTATATTTTAGAAACAATGGGCCTAGTCTTAGTCCAAATCTTTAGTATGTGAGGCCTATATTTTAGTATTTGAAAGAAATGATGGGCCTAGACTTAATCCCAATCTTTATTGTGTAGAGGCTATATTTTAGAAATAATGGGCCTAGACGTAACGACTGCCTTTATTTCATAGGGCCTGTATTTTAAAATTAATTGGCTTAGACTTAGTCTCAGTCTTTACTTGATAGGGCCTTAATTTTAGAAGGGTGGGGCGTAATTTTTTATTTTTTTTTAGCTACTTTGGGCTAAGTCTTCAGCTCAGTCTTTGACAGGCAAAAGTGGGTCATGGAAGTTAATGAAATGTCTCGCCTGACGTTGACACGGTGCACCCCAAAGGTTGAATAATTATATGGACGCCAGCTACTCATGTGCAGTCGTATACTATAAGGTACTTAAAAACAACAGTAAAAATCATCGACCTACACAAAGTATATAAGGTTGCATTTGTTTATCATCTCACAGATGATTGGGGTAATGGTGAACAAAACTACACCAACAACGTGATCATCTCATAGATGATTGTGATGATGGTGATAGATGATTGTGATGCTGGTGATACTACACCAACAATGTGATCATCAGATGATTGTGATGATGGTGATACTGCACCAACAACGTGATCATCTCATAGATGATTGGAGTGATGGTGATCTACACCAACAACGTGATCATCTCATAGATGATTGGAGTGATGGTGATACTGCACCAACAACGTGATCATCTCATAGATGATTGGAGTGATGGTGATCTACACCAACAACGTGATCATCTCATAGATGATTGGAGTGATGGTGATACTGCACCAACAACGTGATCATCTCATAGATGATTGGAGTGATGGTGATCTACACCAACAACGTGATCATCTCATAGATGATTGGAGTGATGGTGATACTGCACCAACAACGTGATCATCTCATAGATGATTGGAGTGATGGTGATCTACACCAACAACGTGATCATCTCATAGATGATTGGAGTGATGGTGATACTGCACCAACAACGTGATCATCTCATAGATGATTGGAGTGATGGTGATCTACACCAACAACGTGATCATCTCATAGATGATTGGAGTGATGGTGATACTGCACCAACAACGTGATCATCTCATAGATGATTGGAGTGATGGTGATACTGCACCAACAACGTGATCATCTCATAGATGATTGGAGTGATGGTGATACTGCACCAACAACGTGATCATCTCATAGATGATTGGAGTGATGGTGATACTGCACCAACAACGTGATCTAATGAGATATTTTGAATTGTGCTGAAAAAAACGTTTCAATAAAGAGAACATTTGTCCGGTGTTTGTTAACACCTGTGTGTCACCCAAAGCATCGAGGCGTGTCACTTAAGGTGTGGTGACGTGTCACCTGTGGCACGCCTCTGCTGTCTCCGCCATCACTCCTTCCTCTGGTACGTTATGAGTGTCATTGAAGCCGCCATGTTGATCGTAGGGGCAATCGTCTTTATTTCAGCACTGCCGACACGATACTTAAGATTTTCCTGTCTGAACTCTGGATTGCATGTACATACAACCACAGGGGTCCTCTAAACAAAATCAAACTTTATTCTTGATAAATGGCTCCAGTCTGTCTGTATTGACCGACCTTGGCCCACGGGAAGATCCCCATATTATGTTAAATCGTTGTCATCTACCAATGTGCTCCCCGAACACTATTTGCAGGGAGATAACATTCTACTGGACCCAAACTTTTCAGACACAGAGTCGTGAAGTGGTCAGTGTGCCCCAACCCTAGAACCCCTGTGGTAGGACGTTATCATGACAGCAACCCCTTGATTGGTTAAAAGCGCGGCAACCCGGAAGTATTATGACCGATAACTTAATTGAAAATCGAATACCCTCGAAGGACACGCGTAGTTCTGTGTAGTGATGGTGTCATAATTATTGTAATACACACACACACACACACACACACAAAGGTATGTCTGTGTGTGAATTACGCGCAGATCGTCTTGAAACTCACGCCAATGAACGTACCGGGTACTGGATTTGAGCTAGAGGAACGGAAGAATGAATCGAAACTCGATTGAATATGTTAAAGCTTGTTGTTTATAATATTTTTTTTTGTTTTTGTTTCCTCCAGTTACACAAGGGTGTATCAGTTACACAAGGGTGTATCAGTTACACAAGGGTGTATCAGTTACACAAGGGTGTATCAGTTACACAAGGGTGTATCAGTTACACAAGGGTGTATCAGTTACACAAGGGTGTATTGTTACCAAAGGGTGTATCAGTTACACAAGGGTGTATCAGTTACACAAGGGTGTATTGTAGAGCATGGAAGGTCTAGTAAGTCGTGCACTTCACGAACTGTGCAGTGTTGCACGACACACATCCTGCATTGGTTATAGCCCGCCAAACAATGATGACGGCTATGTGTCCACTTCCCATCCAGTCAAGTTACTTGACAAAACATGCGTTCACGTTGCTAGCTTTATAAGAGTCCCAAATGGTGCTGACCGCCTTAAGGTACGCCACCGCAAACTTTTTTTCCCACGCCCCTGAACTATATTAATATTCTGATGCACCACCCCCTTATGCATCGCATGCTTATTAGAAAAGTATTGAAATTGAGACTATATCGGTACCGGTAAAACCAAAGAAATATTGCGCACCAAACGCACTTGCGGTATTATTTTTAAAAGAATCTCATTTAGCGCAGTTGTCGGGAATTTCATTGTGCGCGCTAATGAGCTCACTATTAAACCAGTCATTCATACCTAGAGAATTGTGTGCATTTCTGTCTCAGAGGTGACGTTTTAGCTTATTGTTTAATAAAGGAAAACACAATTTAAAGAGAGCGCTGCCAAAATGTGATGACTGAAGTATTAGATTTCTATGTTACAGGATGGGAAGTTATGGTAGAATCAAGGAATTTGTGTCATGTGTCCCGGCACGTACCGCCTTCTCCCAACACACACATCCCGCCCAACACACACACATCCCGCCCAACACACACACATCCCGCCCAACACACACACATCCCGCCCAACACACACACACCTCGCAAACACACACACACCCCGCCCAACACACACACCCGGATATAATGAGAGGTCAGATCATGTGTCTAGAGTAGAAAAAAGTTGATTCTTGTTGCTTCACTCTAAGTCTGTCTGACACAGGCGGCGCATTTGTTTGTTTGCAATCATCGCCATTGCATTTCATAACGGTTGGGGGTTGTTGTGGGGGGAAACATGTTAAAAACGGAGACAGAAGAAATTGTGTACGGTATTCATTGACGCAGTGGTGTAGCGAAAAGGGGGTGAGGGCAGGAGGAGACAGACGTCCCCCAGGCTCCAGAACATTTAGGAGTGCCAAAATGGGCTTTGGTGGTATTTTTTAAGGAAAATAATGAGTTTCAGAGTTGTAAGGGGCGTAACAATGAATCGTGTCCACTGGCGCCAAAAGCTCTAGCTGCACCTCTGCAATGACGGTCAGTTACTGACACAATAGGAATAGTGTTTTCATGGATGGTCCTATGCCTATGCTGTTATTTTAGTCGAGCAGCACACCGACAGATTACATATAATGGTCTTATCGCTGTTATTCAAACTTGGATAAAACAAAAGGGAGATAACAGGGATCGTGCCCCGCCCCCCCCCTTTTTTTTTTCAGGGTAAGGGGGTAAAACTAGGGGTTGCAAGAATCGCACGTTCCGAGTGTAAACATCTCAACATTAGCACGGTCTCTTATCTTCTTGTCGGCCTAAGCTATAGACGAGTTCCTATGCTTAATATGTGATGTGCATTCTAACAACAGCTACACTGCCACACAAAGATCGTGCGATCGGAAACAGTGATTCACAAACTTTTTTTTTTTTTTTTCAGGAGGTACACAGAAATTTTAACACACACTATATCAAACTATATTCAGTTTAAGAAAATGATTTGATATTGATTTCTATATTAATAATAGTGCATCTTATTTTCCTATTTTACAGCTTGTTAGTTCAAACTGCTTATCTAACTCTAACATTTTGTTTTAAGGTGCATCTTTTTAAATTGCATCAATTTTCGAAAAATAAAGATGTAGTTCATCCTTAAATTCATTAAACACCCGCATACTTCTGTACTACAGTCGACACGCTTGACTACATTACAGCTTGCTATTAGTCTGTTATTTCTATTGCAATATCTGTCAAGTATGCTTTTATATATTAAAAAATGTGATACTAACGTAGACTTGTAAGTATGTCCATCCGTCTGTCCCACACCCCCCCCCCCTTTTTTTTTCTTCTTCAACCTTGTTTTCTCTCCCGGTCCGATTTGTTCAAACTGACCTTGTTATTGCCAGTCAGCGGGGAACAATGATAATAATTGCTAGCGGTAGATAGTCTGTTATTTCTATTGCAATATCTGTCAAGTATGCTTTTATATATTAAAAAATGTGATACTAACGTAGACTTGTAAGTATGTCCATCCGTCTGTCCCACCCCCCCCCCCCCTTTTTTTTTCTTCTTCAACCTTGTTTTCTCTCCCGGTCCGATTTGTTCAAACTGACCTTGTTATTGCCAGTCAGCGGGGAACAATGATAATAATTGCTAGCGGTAGCAAACCGTTGACCGACTGGGAAGAACGCAAAGCTTGGTTCCCAACCTCCCCCCCCTTTTTTTTTAATGCAAACTTAAAACGGTATTTCTTTACTACTTGTATTGTTCTACTAGTGGAATATGTCACGGGAGCGATTTAGACTGGTGAACTATGTCACGTGCGCGATGTGGACTGGTGAACTATGTCACGTGCGCGATGTGGACTGGTGAACTATGTCACGTGGGCGATGTAGACTGGTGAACTATGTCACGTGGGGCGATGAAGACTGGTGAACTATGTCAAGTGGGCGATGTAGAATGGTGAACTATGTCACGTGCGCAATGTAGACCGGTGAACCATGTCACGTGGGCGATGTAGACTGGTGAACTATGTCACGGGAGTCACGTAAGCTAATAATATCCAAAAATGCACCGAAGACTGCTACGTATAATTTTGTAAGAGGTTACGAAGTGACGAAGTCTTATGATGGCAGGGGGTGGAGGGAGGAGAGCTCATTTTAATTCCATTAATGTGAGGTCAAAATAATATTTTTTTATTGCGTGTTTTGTGTTTGTAGTTGTTTGTGTGTGTGCGCGCGCTGTGTGTTTCGTCTGTGTGCCCTGTGTGTTTCGTCTGTTTGCGCTGTGTGTTTCGACTGTGTAGCAACGCACAATGAATACATTCATTATTTAGCGCGAAAATAGTATCCTTGGCAAAACGTGAATGGGGTTGTTGGCTACACGACTTGACCAGCACGACTCTCACTGAAGACATGTTGGCGCCACGACTTGACCAGCGCGACTCTCACTGAAGACATGTTGGCGCCAAGACTTGACCAGCACGACTCTCACTGAAGACATGTTGGCGCCACGACTTGACCAGCACGACTCTCACTGAAGACATGTTGGCGCCACGACTTGACCAGCGCGACTCTCACTGAAGACATGTTGGCGCCAAGACTTGACCAGCATGATTCTCACTGAATAAATGTTGGCGCCACGACTTGATCAGCACGACTCTCACTGAAGACATGTTGGCGCCAAGACTTGACCAGCACGACTCTCACTGAAGACATGTTGGCGCCAAGACTTGACCAGCATGATTCTCACTGAAGAAATGTTGGCGCCAAGACTTGACCAGCACGACTCTCACTGAAAACATGTTGGCGCCAAGACTTGACCAGCACGACTCTCACTGAAAACATGTTGGCGCCAAGACTTGACCAGCATGATTCTCACTGAAGACATGTTGGCGCCAAGACTTGACCAGCGTGACTCTCACTGAAGACATGTTGGCGCCACGACTTGACCAGCGCGACTCTCACTGAAGACATGTTGGCGCCAAGACTTGACCAGCACGACTCTCACTGAAGACATGTTGGCGCCACGACTTGACCAGCACGACTCTCACTGAAGACATGTTGGCGCCACGACTTGACCAGCACGACTCTCACTGAAGACATGTTGGCGCCACGACTTGACCAGCACGACTCTCACTGAAGACATGTTGGCGCCACGACTTGACCAGCACGACTCTCACTGAAGACATGTTGGCGCCACGACTTGACCAGCACGACTCTCACTGAAGACATGTTGGCGCCACGACTTGACCAGCACGACTCTCACTGAAGACATGTTGGCGCCACGACTTGACCAGCACGACTCTCACTGAAGACATGTTGGCGCCACGACTTGACCAGCACGACTCTCACTGAAGACATGTTGGCGCCACGACTTGACCAGCACGACTCTCACTGAAGACATGTTGGCGCCACGACTTGACCAGCACGACTCTCACTGAAGACATGTTGGCGCCACGACTTGACCAGCACGACTCTCACTGAAGACATGTTGGCGCCACGACTTGACCAGCACGACTCTCACTGAAGACATGTTGGCGCCACGACTTGACCAGCACGACTCTCACTGAAGACATGTTGGCGCCACGACTTGACCAGCACGACTCTCACTGAAGACATGTTGGCGCCACGACTTGACCAGCACGACTCTCACTGAAGACATGTTGGCGCCACGACTTGACCAGCGCGACTCTCACTGAAGACATGTTGGCGCCACGACTTGACCAGCGCGACTCTCACTGAAGACATGTTGGCGCCACGACTTGACCAGCACGACTCTCACTGAAGACATGTTGGCGCCAAGACTTGACCAGCACGACTCTCACTGAAGACATGTTGGCGCCACGACTTGACCAGCATGACTCTCACTGAAGACATGTTGGCGCCAAGACTTGACCAGCACGACTCTCACTGAAGACATGTTGGCGCCAAGACTTGACCAGCGCGACTCTCACTGAAGACATGTTGGCGCCAAGACTTGACCAGCGCGACTCTCACTGAAGACATGTTGGCGCCACGACTTGACCAGCACGACTCTCACTGAAGACGTGTTGGCGCCAAGACTTGACCAGCGCGACTCTCACTGAAGACATGTTGGCGCCACGACTTGACCAGCACGACTCTCACTGAAGACATGTTGGCGCCACGACTTGACCAGCACGACTCTGACTGAGGACATCATCTAGTTGGTTTAGTAACGCTGCCTAACAACACACACTAAGGCTGTGGTTCCACTGGTTCAGTATTTTACCGGAATCCAAGACTGACACACGGTAGACGAAACAAATACAATAACACAACGTGAACATGGTTACGTTTATGCTCAGACCGCCATCGGTGTTTCACGGAAGTGTACCAAGGAGCACCGGTCGAAATAAGAATAGATTCTTTTTTTGGTCGAAATCGTCCGACGCTGCTTTAAAAAGAAAAAAAAAAGAATTAACATGGTGACTTGATATTTTTTTTAAAGCAGTTTGATGCACGATGGGGCATGGACACAGCATGAAGAATTTCCAATTCCCTGCAGCGTCTTGTATGCGGGTGAAACAAATATTCCCATAGTCGTAATTCGGTTGCTCGTGCTATAAAGACAGATCGCTTGTTTACCCCAATTTAATACATGTTTTTGTTAGCTTTATGAAACTGGGTCATTTTAGTGATGGTCCGCGAAAGTTACTTTTAAAACAATTTTAAAAAATCCCTGACTTTGGAATATTGTAAGAGCCACTGTTCCTGGAGTCCGAAAACGCAATGACGGCCAATGCCGGATTTGGTTTTAAGAACAATTAAATATCGTTACGGATCAGCCGATTTATTTATAATGGGGCAATCAGTGGCGTAGTCAGGGTTAGGGTTAGTTCTGCCCCTCTTCCGCGAAACAAAAAAAAGCAACAACTATGCAGTGGGCGTAAAATCCCGACCCTCCATATAAAATGAAAGTGCCGCCTTAGTGCGGACCGCCCCCTCCTCACCCACATCCTTCTCCAATGGCTGTAAGTGTCAGTTAGCATACACAGTTTCATGGCTCACTTGTGAACACGATTCGTGAATATTTGAATGCCCACTGACAGATTGCAACAACTAGTTACATTAATATCTAACATAGTTACTGGGAGACAATTATTTGAACATTCCAATGAGTTATTTTAATAGCTTTTTTTGTATCCGTGTGTGGCCTTCCTTCGTGTGTTCATTAAGTTTGATTGAATTTCATGTTGATTTCTAATCAAAAGTCTCTAGAACCTCTCCCCTCCCCCCCCCCCGGGGTCACTGGCGTAGGATAGGGGGATGGCATTTATACGTGAATGGGGGGAAAAGGGGGGGGGGGGGGCGTAAAAAATCAACGACCGTCCCTGGAATCAAAAAGCTGTAGCTACTTTAATGCGTCGCCCCCAACTGGGTCCCAACGCAAGCATAAAAAAAAAAAAAAGATTAATTATTTCATTTTAAAAAAGTAAAAACCATTTTGTGTTAGGAAATTCGTCAGTAAAATAATCCCACCAGGTCCTCGGGACATTGCTTTATCTCAATACGTATTAGCTAGCTACACCCACCCCCTCTCTTTTTGTCCCCACCCTTTCTACCATATGCCATTGGCGGCTCGGCAATTATGAAGCTGATGGATCAATTAATGAGCTTGCGCAGAGGCGTGTACCCACTTGAAGTGCCGCGGTCCATTTGAGTTCTCGTATTTATTTTCAACAACTTAGATTCTTTGACTTCATAACACGTGCCCGCGTGCTCACCGGATGCGCTGCTGTGTTCTTTGTGGGTGGATCAGATCAACGTCTACACCAATAACGCACGCGTTGGCTCTGTTTTGATGCCCGCTTATGTCTTTAGTACTTGGAGATTCAGATGATAAAACGGTGCTACTGCTTTACAAATTGTTTTACAAATTGTTTACATTGAGATTGGTGCGATCAAGATGATAAAATACTTCTACTATGCCATATAAACTGTATTAATATTATATAATTTTTTTTTTGCACGGTGGCTCTCGAATTAAAATACAAATTTATTGCACTTATTGATAAAGTACACATCTGTATGGCACTCTGATTGTACTACATTGCTCAATATCTGTACCGCCCGTTGAGAAGAAGCTGATTGAATGTGCCGTATCGGATTGTCTTGCAAGTATCTTGCGGTATATTTATTTTCTCCGAAAAGATCGCTGTACACTAGCAGTTTTAACTTGAGCCTACTCGGAATTGTGGTTCATACCAAATGAAAAAGGCACCGTTTTGACATGAGTTGCCATATTGTTTTTTTTTATTGCAACACGTTGCCCATCTTTCCACCAAAGCCTCTTCATTTAGATATAGCCTAAATGATCCAAACTGTGCGGCATAACTCTGCTACAATCTGATATAGCCATACTTCGTTTTGATGCTTGAAATGTCAATGGATGCCTACTTGCGCTCTTAAAGATTTGTGAATTGTGGCTGATGTTTGCACACAGGCCATAATACAAACATCGAATAGACACACACGCACACAGAAAGCACGAGCACATATCAACGATCTTGTTGTAGTATTACTAATGTCAGCCCGCTGGCTCTCTGTGGTTCAAAAAGAGATATTGGTTAATATTGACTGTGTCCGTGTGTGCATTTGTCACTAACAATAATAAATATATTTTTGCACTGAAAGATACAAATACTATGGACGCAGGGTCGTGCATTTTTTGGCTGGGGGTTCAAAACAACTGTGTCAAACTTGTGTGAAGTTGAGACAAAAATAATAATATAATTTATTGAAACACTTCTTGCCCCTTTGTTTTGCAGATTCATCAATGGTATTTTTAAAATGAGGCTTCCGCGCCAAAAGAGACTCAATACCTAACGGGCGTCTACAAAGGGGGCGGGTGGAAGGAAGCTGCATTCAATTCACATAAATTCAACGCGTGACGCCCACATGATGAAATGACAGACATTTGGGTTTTGCTTGAGAAGAATCCCTTGAACTGCCTTATAGTTTCCAGCCATGTTTGGACCATTGTCATAACTCTGAATGCAGTCCTTTAATTTATATATTGTCATAACTCTGAATGCAGTCCTTTAATTTATATATTGTCATAACTCTGAATGCAGTCCTTTAATTTATATATTGTCATAACTCTGAATGCAGTCCTTTAATTTATATATTTCATAACTCTGACCTCGATAATCCACTAATGGAGTTTTTAGTACTATTTTGGAAACCAAAAGGAGCCGATAAGTATTGCACGTTAGTGCCTTCCCTCCTATCAATCACGTGGATTCCGTGCAGAAAATATTTTCAAAAGGGACCCGGGTCCGAATAGCGGCGATGCATTTCCGGTTCCATTTTGACTAAATGCTATTCGGATGTCATTTGTGGTAGTTTATTTTAGTTAAACTTAAGAAGTAAGTTTACAAACATATAGTCCATTCAATTATCTTTCATTTGATACCAAATTTTGCCTTACAAACCCTACAATAATTTTTAAATATTTTTTTAATAAACCCAAAATCTAACTTCTCGGACCCGGGTCCGAATAGCCACAGACTAGAAATATTACTAGTTTTTGAGTTGGCGGTTTAATTTTGTAAAGCCATAAAAAATATATTAAAAAAAAATAATAAAAATTATAAATTGGTTTGGCCTTGTTTTGTGTGATCTTTAAATTGCTAGGTTACGCAGTTATGAAAATTTTAATCTGGCACATAGCGTCGGCCTATTGATGCTCCACTTGATGCCGGGTGTTTTAATGCTAAAGACAATCTCAATTTTTGAAATAGTTTTGTTAAGAGACTTTTGAAACTGCCCCGGTTTATTGACTGATGTGCGTACCGGCAACGTAAGACGCGCGGAGGACCACCGTTTGGGGAACGCCCCAACACACTATTTTTGTACCGTATCTCACTCTTGCTTATATTTGTCGCTATGAAGCACGAACACTACCTACTTTTTGCCTTAGCAGAGGGACAATAATGAGATGTGGATGAGGGGAAAACAATTCGGTTCCGCAGTTGCTTATCAGTGGGCAAGAAAACAGTTCCGCCTTTGGGGACCCCTTGCGGACAGGGCCTCGACTTGCCTCAGGCTCTGAATGTCCTTGTGTGTGCGTGTGTGTGTGATTTAAAAAAAAAAAGGGGGGGGGGGGTTCCTGCACAAAAAAAGTAAATAAATAAAATGGTTGAGATACTGATCGTTAGTAGTCTGCGTGGAGAGGGTTCGAAGTGACGGCTGGGAAATAGTTGATCTCCATAAAGGCACATACATAATTGGATTTTAACCAGAGGCATATCGTTCTCGCCGTACTTTGTTTTTTTTTTTTTAAACTCAAATTTTCTTTCTTCAACTCTCTAGCAAGACACTTACTAGAATTGTTAAATACAAGATGAAGGTATATATTTATTCAAACTTGTATAAAAATGTGTCATTAAATTCAGAGGTGATCATCAACCTTTTCCTCATAAAATTGTTAGAAAAACCATTAAAATGTGTTTATATCTATTTCAATGAAATCAGCAGATTGATAAAAACGTTGTCCTTATGATTAATGAAGAAATCCAAAATGATCTCATGAATTTTTTAAAATGCGAAATGATGTGATATAAATATAAAATACATCAATTCCTTCTCTCTGTAGATGACAAAACTATGGCACACTATGGTTTGTTCAGCTTTCCATTGTACGTTGTGGTTCTCGTTATGCTAGTCCTGGCCATTGTATGGGGACTTGTGGCAATTGGGTTTGCCATCTTCAATGTCTTTGGTCGACCTATCGAAACCATCACAGGACCAACCGGTCTCTATCTATGGAACATTCTAGCATGTGAGTTAACATTAATTTAGCACATGTACTTGCAAAATTTTTACATTAACAAAACTGTGCTGTCCAGAGCCACTTGACATTTTTTAAGTAGGCCCACCTAATGTTAAAATGAAATGGTATAAAAATATCAAAATGAAAAATTCATATTTAACTGGTAAATTTTTTTTTCAATAGAAATGTGGTATGATCTTTTCATAGTCATGCATTCAGTTATAATTTTAGGTCCCCTTTGAAAATGAGGCACAGCTGAACACCCTAACATTGCCTGTCACGCTGCCTGATCACCTCATTTTACTAACGCTTGCACTGCTCATGGTTTCACATAGCTATTAAGGTTAATGGTTTAAATTTTGTTAACTCCTCAGGCATTTTTGCACTGACTGCCATCGGGTGCTATTTGGGGCTCTATTTTACACAGCTCAAAGTGAACATCTTGAGACTTAAAGACCAGGACCCGTTCTCCTCTAAAGACCATACCAATCTTGACATGTCATTTTACTTTGTTGTGGGAGCTGTAGGAGCTTTCCTCTTTAACCAATTCATTTTGTGCTTCTCGGGACAAAAGTGTTCATGTGACTACCACCGCTCTGGGGAGAAAGAAGTGGACAGTGGGATGATTCTTTACTGATAGATAAGCCAATTGTGTTAGAGAGTTAAGCACTGGAGGTCAAATTAATTTAAAGTATTTTTTGGTTTTGATTAATACAAATGATTAGTTCATATGTACAATTAATAACTGGATTGTTTTTAAATCACTAGAATAATTGCATTTATTTTGTGATATTGTCACCCAAGAAGGTTAATTTAAAATTCCTTACAGCAGACTAGGGTTGTCAGCTATCTGTAAATTTACAGAGAGTGTAAAAATGTGACCTAATAGGGCTTGTTTGTAAAAGTCCGTTATAACTAGAGGATGTCTGTATAAAATTTGACTTAAAAAATTGAAGCAAAATAAGGCTGAAGGTATCAGCCTTTGTGATTTCTTTTTGCTTGGTTTGAAATTGTATGACTTAAATCAGCAGAAATTCAACGCTGATGAGAATTCTGTACAATAAAATAACCTTATAAAATATGCCCAAGCCATAAGTAAATATAACATTGTCATAAAACAAACAATATTTTAAAATTTTGTTGAACTTCATAAGTTTATTTTAAAAATGTGGAGATTTAGAATATTTGCCCCAAAAGTTGTTTTTTTAATTTGCAGCTCTGCAGCAGACACATCCAACTTAATTTTATTATTTTTCATTGAAGTGAAGGGTTTGAGATTCTAGATTACTTTTGTTGTAGTGGTGCTTGATAAGCTATTGTTAATTGGATTCTCTTGTGAAGTCTGCATCATTTATCAGTTTATTTATAAATCATCACCTCAAGAGCATGTAGATTCCATTTTCACCCTGCTAGTATCCTGTTTGATTTTTGAATGGTGCAAGTTATTGTTGGATTGATATGTAACCTCTAAATAATGAGGCTTAGTTTTTATTTAAGGGGTCTACCATCAAGAATTTAAAAAGTAGAATTGTGTAAAAAGGGAAAAGGAAGTCTTTTTTTTGTTTTAGCCATTCCTTCAACTGTAAGTTTGTTGAAAAGTTTTGTTACTTTGTATTGTTTACATGCTTTTGTGATTTTTTCCCCGAAATCAATTTAAATTACTTGTGATCTATACAAGTTGCATATGATGTAACAAATAATTCCTTAAAAAAATTTTATGGAGTTAAACGTGAGAATTTTGAAGCTAAATTGTGATTAATTGTGTAGTCTTTGAAATGTACATTTGCTTTACAATTCATCGATAATCATATTTCATTCTTTATTTTTTTATTGTGTAACAATATTAACATTCCAACCTGTAAATAATTACTGGAGCACATCTCAAGACATGAGACTGCTTATGATGCAAAGATTTTGTTTTTAAAAAACTAGAGTAATTGAAACTTAAAATAGCCATACATGAAATTTATAAAAAAAATAAATTATAATAAAGCTTGAAATGTGTATTTAGGGAGAAATTTTGGAATAAACAAAAATATTCATTACAAATTTCTACTTTACTTTGGTAAACTTATTTTAGAAGAGATTGGTAGACTGGCTAGACAGATTAGTAAAAAAAAAAAAAAAAGATATCTGTAAAAAATAAAATAAAAAATTAAATTTAAAAAAATAAAAAATTTTTGAATAAACAAAAAAATACATTAAAAATTTATAATTTACTTTGGGAAAATTAATTTAAAAGAGATTGGTAGAATGGCGAAAAAAAATAATAAAAAAAAAAAAAAAAGATATCTGGAAAAAATAAAATAAAAACTTAAATTTAAAAAAATAAAGCCTGAATTTATGTCTATTTGAAAAAAAATAATTATCTACAGGTAAATTGTACAAAATTCTGTATAAATATGATTCTTTAATGTAAAAAATTCAAGATTGATATCCATTTACAATCTATTTAATGTTTCAGACTATGTTCTGTTTTTTATACAGAGCTACAGAACATATCATCTTATATATATATACTTTGTAATATCCTAAGGTTGTGTTTACTTTATTACTTATATATATGCACTAGTAAAGCGTTTACATTTTTTGTGAAATATGTATCCATTTTTAAAATATTTTTGAACATTTTCTCACAAGATCATTTGTATTGTTATTTAAAGAAATCAGTTAAGCAAATTCTATTTTTAAAATAATTTTTGTGTATCACTTGTTGGTAAAAATTCCCTGTGTATATAAGATATTTAAATAATTAAAATACCAGTAGGCAATTAAAAAAATTATTGTTACAAATTATTTGTTAATATTATATTTCATTCTATATATCTTTTCCAAATAATCTTTGTGTTAATTTCTTAACCAAAAGATGGTCATTTTTAGTTTTAAAATTGTTTCTAATGACAATACCAGCAGCAATACCACAATACCAGCAGAAATAACACAATACCGGCAGAAGTCATTGGCCGATTACTTAAAATTTACAGAATTTGGATCTGATTGACAGGTATATAGGTGTGATTGCCTAATTTGCTGCTCAATAGTTACATGTGTGAATCTTACCATGTACCAAATTTAAATTGTTTCATGTAATTACTAAACATTCCAGAGACGAAGTGCATTTTGTAGATCTTTCATATTTGTTTGAGAATAAATGAGCTTGTTGCTGTAACATCTAAGGCTTAGTGTTTGTTTCATTTATTTATTGAAAAATTGTCAAAATATCTCCTAAATTATTACTTTAACATGTTCTTGTTAGTGAAAGATCTTTAGTTTCACCACAAACTCATTTTGCTTTAAAGTAAAACACATTTTTTTTTTAAAACTCCAGGCTCAATAAATGTATTGAGAGTAGTTTAAAAAATAAAATTTTGTTAAAAAGTAAAGAAGAAAAGCAAATAGCTTAAATTAATAATTTTGTCACATTTAATTTCAGTGCATATTATAATTTTTTTTAACAAAACAAATAAAATTTATAAATGTAAGTACACGTACCGATACCGCTTTAAAATTAGCATAAAATTAGGTGGAGCCAAAATGCAATAAAATTTTATACAAGCACAAAAATACATTCTATATAATATTCAAATTTATTGACCTTTCTTTGTAGATATTTATTGACTTAGATTAAAAAGATATTAATTGTCATTTATAAGAATATCTCACATTAGACCACAAGATAAATAATGACTTGATGGATTTTTTTATGCATTCTTTAAAATAATTGACTTTAAAAAAAGCTCTATTTAAAATATGATATGAAGTTCCTTATGTCAGTTCATAAAAAAGTAATACATTCTTATGTTGTTTCACTTCAAAAATTGGATACATCTATTTAAGTCCAGGTTACAAAATACATTACTTTATTATAGTGAAGGTTTTTAATACATTAAAAAGTTAAAAAACTTTTTGCTAAAACATTTAAAATAAATTAATGAAGATTAAGCATGATCCAGGTATTTTGTTATTAAAAAATTGACATAAGAAATAAGGCGCTGCTGAATGTACACTTTTTTTTCATTTATAAACTCAAATAAGATGTACAATGCAAACATGCTTTCATACAAAATGATAAGGACTATCGAACGCCATTAACTGACATACTTCACATGAAAACAATTCTGGTGCATAAATGCTTACACTTTTAAAGTATGCTTAATATCAGTTTTTGCACATATAAGTTTTTTTTATTCCTCACTCAACGCATTATTTCTGGAGACACATTTTGTTATAAACATTCTTAAAATACATAAAAATAAAAATCTGTCTAACAATGTTAGTAACATTTCAGTAATTTTCACAATGCTTAATTTTAAACCATTGCTGAAAAGAATTCTTCAGATACGATATATTTTCTTGAATGGCTTGCATGGCAAAATATATTATGTGGCTGACTTTCATTTGCAATTTTTTTTATTTTACTATTATTATAAATGACTAAAAAAATCCTTTAAATTAAGCCAACTAAAATCTTTGAAGACAAGGCAGTGAAAAGTAAATAAATATATTTTTATTCAAATTATTGTCCTCCTAAAATGAAACTAATTTTTTTTTATACTGAAATTAAGTTTTTCCTCTCATTTCATCACAAAAGGCAAAATTACATAAAATCCATGTGCTTCTACACATGAATAAATAAAGAACAGCTTCTAAAAACACCTCAGTCTTATATAATGTTTCTAATGTTTTAATTTTGTTAAGTAAGCAGTTATGTGATGGGCAATTTTTTTTCACCTGCAGCCCAAGATTTGGCCTTAATACGGAAATGCCTCAGGTCACTGGAATATTTTTCATCTACCATTGGTACATAGTTTGAGGGTTCACAAAGATGCTGTAGAGATGAATTAAAATGATTTTATAAAAAGTGCAATCGGCAGTTAAAATATTTAAATTTAATTAAAAAAATTAAGAGCCAGCGCAGCTCACATAAGAGTTGCAAATTTAGACAGTTTAAGAGATAGAAAGTATTGTTAAATTAAAAAAAAAAAAAACTGCTTCAAGATTAGAAATTTGAAGGTATTTCAATTCTAGGATTCTGAGATAAATTTAACCAATCCTGATCTTAAATCTTTTCTTGCTACTTTTTAGCTCTCAAATAGAATTGTTATTTTTGCTCTCAAATCACAATTTTTCAGAAATAAATAAACATTTAATAGTGTTTATAAATTTAAGAAAAAAATATTAATTTCTGCTTTAATGCTAAAAATGTGTATTTTTACCAATCACAGATATCAATTAACATAGAAACAATTCCTAAAGTCAAACATTTTAAAAATTAAAATATCAAATTCTATTTGACAGTCCTCCAATAGGAAGCCTTACTTATGCTGAATGTAATAAACAATTTTTATTTTCTAAACCTAAAATTTTAACATTTAACAAAAGATTTTTCCTAAATAAACATTATATTAATCTTATGCAGACTTACTGGATGATTGATAAAAAAATCTTTGTATCCTCCAAAGAGACAATAAACTTCTGGAAAAGTTAACTGTGGGTAGTGTAGGACATTCAACTGTCTGTCATATTTGCGCAAGTGCCTCAGTCTGATGAAAATAGAGTTTGAATTGCCACAAATAAAAACCTAAGTGAGCCTTTTTAAATAACTAAATAAAGATCTCTTCCACATTAAGTGTCTGTCATGTTATCCACTGCTGGTTGGACATTTTTGGGGTTATAATCCTAAATCATGCACAGAAAAGTTCCAATTGGAATATTCCTTTTCAGAGAAGTATAAGCTCACAGTCACTTAATGAATTAACTTCAAACTGACAAAGCACTTGATTATATTCCTGGCCCAGTTAAATTAACAAACAAATCCTCCAACATAAAAAATGCCTAAAAGCAAATTTATAAAACATATAGCAGCATAATATACCTTGAAACGGTGAAAAGAATGAAAATATTAAAATGAGATGAAATATTTAAACTCACAAGCTAGGGCCTCTCTGGCTAGAAAATTCACAGTGAAAGACCAGTATATGCCTGTGTGCAGACCTGGTTACTTCTTTTATTTCTTTGTTTAGAAAGTCAATCATTTTGTCCTCTGTATAAATGTTTATTGCACCCTATGATAATGAAAAGTATTAATAAATGATTTTAAAACAAATAATTGTAAATTAATTTTGACACTTTAAAATCATTAAAGATTTAATAATGTAATATATTAGATTAGTTATTTAAATAACTCTTTGTACAAATACAACCATCATTCTAATATATAAAAAATCTAAATAAAAGTACCAGTAAATAAATATTGAGACATGTTAATACTGCTAATAGATGGTATCTAGATCTTAATAGACAAATTGACTTTTACCATTACCTTTATGTGTCCGCCTTCATATTCATAAGGGTATCTGCAATCTATAATGGTCAGCTTATCAAATGAGCTTTCATAAACATGTGACAACAAGTCAGCCATCTAAATTTTAAAAAATAGTATTTCACTGGTATAACTAGTTCAGAGTACAAATCAAAATTTCAGTGCTGTTAGTTTAGCATGACACAAATATTAAATGTATTTTATTTGACAAGTGTACTTTTATATTTTAATTTAAAATTGCTATGATCCGAAATATTTAAGAAATACATATAAAAAAAACAAAAAACATTAATTACAAGTAAGAAAGACTCACAGTTTGGTGGCTAATGTTTTTCAGGTCACTATGTTTTCCTGTTATAACAGGTAAGCAATACTCCTTTGGGAATGAAAATTAAAAATCTAAATTAGAAAAAAGGAATTTATTATTTTGCATATTGTGAGAATCATGGCTAAGAATACCATAATTCTAGTTCAAATAAAGCTTATTTATTTTAGCTTCATGGACCTCAAAGAGTATGTTTCATGCATATGTGAAATATGTCCAACTTCTGTTTTATGTTTCTAATTAAATACAAGATGTTGTTTAATGGAGCTCTACGTTAACAACAAACTTATCTAAATTTACGTATACTTTTTATTACCCTTGAACCATCAGCAATCAAGTCAGGTGACTCCAAAGCATCTACAGCAGTTTTGATACGTTCATGGTAGAGATTTTTATCTTGACCTTTCTCTTCATTGACAATCATCATGTCAGTATCATTATTTGTGATACAATTTTCTGACAGTACAACATCTCTTGTCCTTTTTACACATTTTAACTGAGAATTTTTTAAACATATCTATATCATAATTAAAGTCATAAATTATTTTAATGAATTGTAACATGAACTATGGATACCAATTCTTTCAGTCTGCCACATCTATTTCTTAATTTACCAAAATTACAGTCAAATTTTTATTTGTATCAATTGTATTATTTATGTAAGACACTTTTAAAGAAATAATGATACCGGGTAAATATTAATTTAAAAAGCATACCTGAATGGAATCAGCTTCAGGGGGGCGCTTAAATACATTTCTCTTAAATGCATTTGTAGGTGTATTGGAGAGGTCATTCAGATGTTTACGCATTTCAAGTGATCGACACCTTCTTATACTTGGTTTTAACTGCCGCTTTAAAAAGTCCTAGATTATATGAGTGTATAAACAATATGAAATTTAAAAAAAACACACACTTCATAGCAATAAAATCAGTTGGGCCAAAGTTTATTTTAATGGGATTTTCATAGATTCATACAAATACAATGTATGAGCATTTCTTAATTACCATATCTGTGAGATAAACAGACAACCATAATACTAATACCTCTTCAGAACAATCTGCATCAGGAGAAACATCTATGGCATCTAGCATGGCCTTAAATTCTAAGGATGGAGAATTTGGACAGGTGCTAAAAATTTGCATAGGTTCTATCTCAATTCCATCTGTAAATGTCTCTGACATTTGTGTGAATAAAGTGTTAATAACTTTCAAATTTGTAACCTTTCTTGTATTGTTATTAGCCTTGGTCAGTTCTAGCTTTAGGTGAGCTCTATCAACTGATTTCTTTTTTACACAAGCCCAAGGAGATGACAAGTCCATGGACATCTCTAATTCTTTACTAGGTGAAACCACACTTTGAGAGGCGGAGGGTCCAAATATCTTTTCCAGTTGTCTTGGTGAAATTGAAGATTGACCTAAAGGATATGGCTCATCAGATGGGTTGCCTAAATTTAAAGCTTTGCTCGGTTTTGTTAAAAAAGATTGCAGTCCTGCCATATTTGTAGAAAGATTTTCTTCAGGAATATCTGCCAAACTGGCGAACAAAGGGTCATCTGTTAAAACAACATGCATTGCATAATTAGAAAATGTATAATTTATAAAACTTCACAAATAGGTCAAATATTTTTATCAGGTTTTAATTCACAAATAAATGGTTAAATTGTGATTTATGCCTTTAGCTTATAAATTATTGAATAAAGGCAATCTTCATTCACCCCTTTTTCAATGAAATCAATGTGAATGTGTTTAAAAATGTATGATTTAGTGTAGTTAAGTAGGGACCTAGTCCTAGTATGAAAGCAGGGGCATATTTCAAAATAATCAAATGGTGGTGATTCTTAAATAAATAGGGTTGTAATATTTTATTTAATAAATTAAAAAAGTCTTTAATAGCCCATCATGGCCATGTCATGGATCATCAATATCAAAATCAATGGATGAATGAAAATTTATTGAAAATGAATGAATGGATCAGTGGACTCACGAAGTCCAATATAATTTTATTCATTATAAATTATATAGTTTCTGTAGGCCTAATACATTGCAAAATCATTTACCCATAGTTTTCTAAATGCGCTTATCTTAAGAGAGAATTTTACATTAAAATACAAGTAGAATATATATTATATGTAATCTAATAAATTCATGTTCATGCATCCATATTTCTAGTCTACACTATTCGTTATCTTCAACGGTTTAAGTTTTTAAAAACTCAAGGCTCAAAGTTATGAGAGTGATCTTTTAAAAAAAAGTCACTTTTTCATTTTGAAATATTAATTAATAAAAAATATTAAAACTTCATGGAATTTTAAATATTAAAGAAAAATTCCTAATCTGAATTGTTTGGTGATTCAAAAAGTGAGTAATAGATGGTCCTACTCGACTTCGACGGACGAACAACAATAAAACGCTAAAATATAGGTAAAGTTTGTTTCGTTTGTGGTTAGAAAAATTTAGATTCCATTTTGAAAATAAAATGGCTGCGCCCTTGCGAAAATGTACTTGGATCTATTTTGCAGTCAAAGCGCATTTTCAAAAGAGCATTTCAAGATCATATGCTAAAAAAATCGGTAAGTTAAAAAACTAATCTAAAGCATACCAATGGCAGTGGTAGACGTAGACTTTAGATGCAGAGTCAGTGGTTATTGAGCGTGAGTGGTGAGTTATACACCCGGTCAATAACACGGTCAGACAACATCTCCAATGTAGATACTTTGGTCAAAAATTTAAACATTTTGTAAAAATAAACCAATGGCATAGTTGAATAGAGCTAAATTTTTACAGAATTATAACACCAAAATTATATTTTTAGCTGTTGTAGTTTTAAAGTTATGAATTTTTAAAGTAGGACTTGGTTTGTCCTTTTTTAACATGGACTGCATCTCCACATTCTGTGACCTCATTCCGCTCATCGCGTCATGCGCAATGACTATATAGTTTATATAAGGCTAAGGCATTCCCTCATCACTAAAATACTGTTTAGGGTCGACTTATTTTAAACTTTCAACTTTGGCACATGAATAATTAATTAAAGCTTTCCCTGACCAATGGTTTAATAGTTTTTGCACACGGCAAACTCTTATGAATGAAACTCTGAGATAGTACTACGATATAGCCGTTATGCAAGTGGCTGTGAATGGTTGCCAATGACAACGTGTTGCACACGGAAATTTCTGATCATTTATAATATGGACTCTACAGTGTTTTTAAAGCTCAAATTAAAACATTCCAGTTTAAATGTCTTCAAAATGCATTCTGAAACACAAGTTATCAAATATTTTGATGTATATAGTGGTAATAATTAAATATTTCTTAAGTATTGGCAACTTCCGCCATTAAAAAGGGGGCGTGGCCCACGCCATGTCAAAATAAGGCTGAGCCCCCTTATGGTGATATGGGTCACTGGGAGAAGCGTAGCGAACGTGGGACACTACCAACATCAATGAGAATTGGCACAGATATATATCAATATCTAATGCCTTACACGATTTAATATGAAAGACATGTTCCTTTTATTTCACACAAAATTTTGTATTCGAAGATGCCTTATATATAACAAAGATTTTCAAAATGAAGTTCGATTGAAAAAAGCAAAATAGTTGGATGGAAATGTAGGCTAAGATGTCTTCCAAATTATAAGGCCGGAAACGGAACTCAAATATATGTCCTAAGAACTAATTTAATAATAAATAGACACACACATCGGAAAATTAAAAACTCAGATTTTTCGGCGCCGACGCTTATTTCCGATACAAAAAAAGTAGTAGTCTCCCTTGTTTTATCGAAGTATCTACTCCAATGACAATGACCCCAGTCCAATGGTAGGCTGGTAGTGGTAGGCGTTAGGCTACAGACTAGGTAGGACTTGTAATGCCTAGTAATTAGTAACAACTGCCTTTTTTGGAAATCAGAAACGAAATCCATGGCTTATTTAGAGAGATAGTACCCTGACGTCATTTGCGTATTCCCATAGGGTCAAAATAGGTACTTGGGCAAACCAGTTTTCTGCTAGTGTCAAATAATTACAGAGTTACGTGCCCCTTGTTCTATTTTTTGTCCACTTCAAAATGTAAACATTGCATATGGCATATGCATTGGGAAAAAATGTGTTTTGTGGTTGTTTCTCATTTATTAAATAGGTAGTGTGATATATTATTTTAAAGAGAATTGGAAGCTGTGTCTTCAGATTTTTAATCACGATTGAAAAAAAAATATATATCAAGTTGAATTAAGCTAAGTCTACTACTTAATTTCTCGTAGAGACTCCACCAGACGCGATTTTCATGATAACCACTGTTTAGAGCATCCAATTATCTACAAGAATAGGCAAATTAAAAGTCCCCCCAACCTACCCCAAACAATTTTATTAAATTTTCAAAACAGTCACCACATGGGTGTTTCTTCCCCGGATATCATTTTCAAGATGGCCGAACCCACCTCAGCAAATCATTTTTAAATCTTAAGTAATCTGATTAATAGACAATGTTAAAAGCACTATTTAAAGTTATTTGAGATTAATATTATTAACAAAGAATACATATGAATAGATATTTAATTGTATTTCTTTATTTAAATAGTGAAACTTCCACTCCCACATAATAGGCCTATTAGGGAGTTTGGCCTTAGCTACCTGACACATTTGTAGCATGGAAATATTAAGAAAAGTATATTTTATCTTCATAATAGATTTAAAATTAAGATTGCTTTAGTATTTAGATGAATTGATACTTTGAAATGCTTCACACACACAAAAATACTTCGTTTTATCTTTTTAAAGGCCTATCAAATGACATCATAATGTTAATCATATTTGCAATTTGTAGGCCTTAGTTGAAGCAGTACAATTATTTTTTAATTGTAGGGATTCTATGAAAAACTAATGCTACACTTAGCAAAAAGAATATCGAATTGAAAGATACCCCCTATGCAAGAAAAACTCTTATTATAATCTACATATTGTCCATTTAATATCCGAAAATTGATTTGATATCGGCTATATAGAATAAATTAAATTTTTTAATGGACACATTGGTTCACCCTTCCATATGCTACTTATTATGTTTCCCCTTTTCAATACGAACAATTTGATATACATGACCCTATATTTTGAAGAATATTGTTCATGTTGTGTTCATATTCAAATATGACATATAGAAATTTTACGGCCATTTTGAATATTAATGAGCTCATCTTGCGTACCATAGAATTTATTGTAAGATGTCTGTTTGGATAATGTGATGACGATCACTGATATATATGGTTTGTTATGGTTATCTTCATTAAGTCATTCAATAAATTCAATTTACTGCTCTTTTTTAACATCTCTCCCAAATCTCTGCCCAATTTTTATTTTAGTCACTTTTATATTTTCCTATATGTCTCAATTAACAGAGTTATCCCAAAATAATTCACACAAAAAATCATAACTTTCTTTAGAATTGACCTTCAAACATAAATTTGGTATCAATGAATTGCATTTTGCAGGCCCTATCTAACCAACTAGCTCTTAAAGCTATAACTTCATTTTGAAAATTTTACCCAAGTACCTAGTCAAAACCCTGGTTCCGATAGGGTCAAAACCCAGGTTAGGGATAAGTTTAGGGGTTAGGTTTAGGGTTCAGGTTAGGTTTAGGGATACATTTAGGACATAAATTCGCAGGTCGCTGCAACCAAGATGGTGGCCGCGGTACTATCTCTCCAAATTTATCATTTCTTAACACATTTTAATTTTATATATTTTGCACATTAACTTACAAGAGTGGACTTTATTAAATTAACTCCGGCAGTGACAGTAAATAAGTGAGTTAACTAAACTAATAGTTAGAAGTGTACAGCACTTAAAGTTAAAGCCTTAATTTTCTTTTTATTTGATTTCTAAAGCATCTTTGACCAGCCCCCAAAATAGTCTGTGAATGATCTCTCCATTTGTTTTGTATTTCTCACTCTACTATGTGCCAGATTTTGGGTTAACATTATGGTTTTGCCAAGAGTTGTCTCGCCCTAAGGGCAGTGATGTCACTTTGGGGTATCCCAACATTGGACTTTGAGTGAATAGACCGATTTTAGATCATGAATGATGTGTGTGTTAACTTTCCTGTTCTTTACTGATCATTACTCACATCATAAACTAAATCTGATGATCAATATTGTTAACATGAAGTATATTTATAATGAAAATTTCTATTAATTCAGCGCAATAGCTTAGGAAATATTTGATAACTTGTGTTTTAGAATGAATTTAGAATTAGAAGGCATTTAAACTGGAATATGTTCATTTGAGGTTTAAAAACCTGGTAGAGTCCATATTATAAAGTATCATAATTTTTCATGTGCAAAATCTCAGAGTTTCAATTATAAGAGTTTGCCTTGCGCAAAATGATCTTCTGGGGAGGGGATATCCCTCCCCCAATTTCAAAAATATAAAATAAGAAAACAAAAACTTACATTCATTAAGTGAATTGAAACATAAATATCCAAATCTTTTGAATATGGGGCTGTAGACGGAAGTTGACCAGAGGGAACCTCTGTAACCAATATTACTGAGGAACACATCGCTGGCCTTAATACTTAACAGTCACCGGAAATTTGTTTGAAAGATATTTCGTCAACAGAAAATTGACCTGAAATTCTGTCAAATTTTTTTTTCAGTTCACAAGTTAAAATTTTAGTCAAATTTCTTTTTGAACGCACTGTACTATATAGTAAAACAAAATAGTGCGGTCCAAAAGAAATTTGAAGCAAAATTTTAAGGTGTGAACTGAAAAAAAGATTCAAACAAATTTCCGGATACGACTGCTAAACCAAAGCAGACCTGTTTACCCTCTAACTCTTAAAATCGTACTTCTTCACAAAAATCATTCAGTACCTTATATCTTTAGTAAAAAATAAACATACAGTATATACACCTCAAAATCGTACATTGTATGCCAAAATCGTGAGAGTAAACAGGTCTGTCAAAGTCAAGCCAGATTTTTTCACCTATTAAGTTAGTATGCTAAATGAAAATTTAAAAAAAAAAATAAACTTAATAAATTATTCGATTGTGGGCGGGGAGAAACAAACATTTGTTGTTTTTTCCTTAAATGAGCTATATAAATATAATTTCAAACAAACGCTCCTGCATGGGTGAATGGATCTAGACCAAACTTGGTACATATTTAAATACCCGGTACTGAACTCACAAAATCCACTCCTTTGGAACTGGGGACCCAGTTTCATTTTTCCTTATAAAAACTATATAAATACGGTATCAATAAAGGGCCATCCATACATGACGTCAAGCAAATTTTGCAGATTTTTTCTACCCCACCCCCCCCCCCCCCCCCA